CAGGGGCCACCGCCCAGCCCCGCCGGCAGCTTCTGCCCGACGCCGCCCCCAGGGGTCCTGGACTCCGTGGGGGGCGTGGGGCCTGCGCCCTCCCCTCCCCAGGTGGGTGGGGCAGGGGGAGGTGGGCAGCCACGGGACTGCCCTGTGGTCGGGCTGATGGGCGCCCGCAAAGCAGCCCGTGAGGCCAGGTTCTGTCCGTGGAACTTCATTTTCCGCGGAATGCAGTCGTACAGTCGGATTTCTGGTTTTCACGGAGAAAACCAGCGGACCCGTTCTGTACCGACAGAGCGGGGCTGGGTCACACCTGCGGGAAGGGGCCCCTGGGATGGGTCATGATTTACTGGGCGGTGAAGTGACGCACCGGCGGCAGGGTCGCTTCTGCACAGAGCACAGTTGGTTTTAGGGGCTGGGCCGCCGCAACCCAGCCGGGAGCAGCAGCCCAGACACCCCTGTTTCTAGCGAGGCCTGGCCCCACCCATCTCCGGCTCTGGGCATTCAGGTCCCCTAGGGCCAGGCTGGGGAAGAGGGCTCTCCCCACCAGGAGCCCGGGGAATGTCCTCTGCCCCCCTCGGGCCTTGAGCCATCTCCCTCCCCTCATCCCACCCTCCTTCCTGCCTGGCCCCTGGGCCCCGTCTCAGGATTCCCAGCCCTGCCCCGGGCCTGCAGCTTCTGCCCAGCACCTGCCCAGCACCTGTCCTTCCCTCCTGGTGCCGGCGCCAGTGGAGAGAAGGCCGCGGGGCCTGAGGCTCTGCTGGACAGCTTGACCAGGAGGTGAGGGGCCAAAGCTGCTCCTAGAAGGGTAGGGAGCTGGCCCCCACCCGGGCGTCTGGTGGATGCTGTCCGTGGTCCTTGGTCATCCCTGTGTCCTGAGCTGTGGCCCTGAGGGCCCATGTCAGGCTGGGCTGCTCAGTGACCTCGGCAGCTGACCCTGGGCTGTGTTCCTGGAGCCTTCTCTAGTGACCAGGGCATTGAGTGACCCTCACCGGGGCTGTGAATTGCTGCCCTTGGCCAGAGCCTTGGGCACCTTCTCGCCCAGGTCCTGGC